TCCTAATTTAAATTTGCATATATATATATATATATATATATATATATATATATATATATATATATATATATATATATATATATATATATATATATATATATATATGTTTAGTTAAATTTTTAAATTTATTTTTATTTAGTTTTTTTTATTTTTTATCATTTATTCAAAATATTAAAAAAATTGATTACAAAAGCGCTCATCTCCATCATGATCCTCCATGGCCCTCTGTTCTTCATCAACCATCTTCCTCCGTCTTCTCAACAGCTCGCCTTCAAACCGTACACCACCGTCTCCTCTGTACATCTTCCTTCATCACCAAAACAAACTGTCACCGAACTACACTCTCCAACGCTCAACAGTCTCCACCGAACAACCACGCCTCAATCTTTCACCACCCATCAACCGGCCGAACTCCCTCAAATACAAACCAGAAACAGCCTTAAACACACTCCACTGTCCTAACAATACACTTCACAATCACCAGCCAAACAACAATGATACAGCAAATCTGCCGTTTCCCTCCATTAGCTTCTGTTCAACAAACAACCTCTACGAGTAACTCTTCACCGAACTCTTTGTTCACAACAGTGCAACACTTTGACAACTTCAACCTCCACCACAAAGACTGTTTCCCTCTGTCGAACATCGTTCTGTAAATATCGATATTGTTTCATTCATGTTAGAACTATTATGCATACTTATATAATTTATGTGTAGTTTAGTGATGTTCTGAGATGCTGTTGTTAATTTCTGAAAAAAAGGTTTGACAATTTTTATTTGAATTGGCTATCCTATGATATAATTTAAAGTGTTATGCTGCTGAAAATTTTCTAAAATGTGTGCTTGACAATGTATGTTGTGTCGATGTTAGTTGCGTTGAGGTCTCATTTTTGTGCTAACGGTTGAACATCTAAGTTGTTGCTTCACAATAATCGAATCTGAATTTTGGAGTTATGTTGTAGGTTCGCCATGTTAATGCGTGATAGTTTTTTTGTTAATGGTATTCGACTCGTCTTGTTGATGTTATGTCTTTTGTTTGTGATAAATCGGTGAGGTTCTTAAAGTTAGATTATAACGAGTTTCTGTTGAGGGAAGTTCGCTTGTGATACAATGCTAGTTATGCTAATTCTCGATTTTGAATGTGTGATATCAATACTATTCGTGATTTTGATGCGGAGTGAAGCTTAATTGTTGTCATGTATTTGAGATAATTGGAAGGAGATTTGGTTGACGTTTGTTGAACAATTCGCTTTGAATTCAAGATGTAATTCGGTTGGCATTATTTTGTTGGTTCCATTTGTGCTAAATATGTTTAAGATTGATTTTTTAGAGCCTTGTTTCATATGCATAGTTGATGCCCTGATTTTGATTTAGGGGTTTATAGTTTGTTTTGAACCCGATTTCTCATGTTGCAACGTGAATCTTTGGTCCTTATGTCACTTGTGATCGGAAAGTAATATTTACCGTTGTGTTTACTTGATTTTAAATGTGTTTGGAACGATGAATACAATGCTGATTTTTGACATTTACATTGAATAATAACTTGTTTTCTTGGTTCTTGATTGAGAAATATTCATTTGTTTATGCAATTCAATTCGAGTTTTATTTGGTTTTAAATTCACTTAGATTACTAACTTGTTTATGGTTTGTGGAAGCTTACAAGAAGTCTCAAGTTCCTTTCTCCTAACATTTCCATTCTACTTCCGATTTCTATTTTCATTTTAATCCATTAGTTCTATATTATTTTAATTAATTAGGGATTGTTAATTAAAATGGATTAGTTTACTAATTTATACTTCTTAACTTCATTAATTGATTTAATCAGTGTTTAAATAATTAATTATCTCTTTATTTCATCCTCCATCTTTCTTTATCTTTTCACTTTGATCAATTAATTAGATGTTGATTTAGTTACTTGATTTAGTTAATTAAAATGGATTAGTTTACTAATCTATTTTTCTTAACTCAATTAATTAAGTTAATCAACTCATAATTAATTGATTAAACATTCACTTCATATTTTCATAATATATTGTTCTAACTCCTTTAGACTTGATTCTTATTTCATCTAAGACTTTGGGCGGTTTTCATGTGTTGTTGGTTTTGTGTGTGTGTTTTATCTTATGTAGGAATTCTTTCCGATATCTTGATGATACTTTGAGTTTTATCTGACATCTTGAGCTTATCTGGTGCACTTTCCCCGCTTGTGATTTATTTTAACCTGATGCACTTTCTACTTGTGATTTATTTTCACCCGATACCTGGTATACTCTTGACCTATTTATTTGTTGGTGGCTTAATCCAAAGGGATGGAAACGCTTTATTGACTTCTTTATGTCAAGTATCAGTTTCTTATTTGGTTAGAATATTCCTTACCCTACCTTTTACTTTCATGTACATAAGATAGTCTCTTCATCTCCTTTTCTATTCTTCAATTTTTAAAACCTTCTCATCTTTTTCAAAACCTTCTTATTTTCAATAAACTTTAACTGCTTTCATAATAAACCTCAACTATGTCGAGTGACTTTTCAAACTTTTTTTCTTAATCAAGACTTAAAACACTTAATAAATTAAGATGTGAATCATATGCAGTTGAATATTATGGGAGACTAGTGAGGCGGTGCATTTCGAATCTTGATCTTCTTTCATTTCTGAACTTTATTGCGATTCAATTAGCAAATCCTTTTTCAAATTAACAAAATACTTTAACTCATTCAAACTTTTTTGTACACTCGAGCACCTTTTTCCTTTAAAATATGTTTCCAAGATTAGACATGATTCATTTATAGTTGAGATATCATCTTCCTGTCTCTATGGTTATAAAGGTGTCGACTTTTCCACTTGAGTACTAGAGCCGTTCTCAAACTCTCACTCATGTTGACGCACAGTCCATCTTTCTCACACCTTATGGGCGATTAGTTTAGATTTATCTCCTAAAAATGACGGCTTATCTTTTTATTTAAAAAATAACCAACACACAGTTTTGTTCTTTTTTTAGAAGAACTATGAGTGCTCTGATCCCTTATTGCACGAAGGGGATACATAGACACAAAGGTTCGCAACTGCGGAGGGCGCAATAATAAAAAATATTTCTTTTGTTTGTAAATATGCATTCATTCATTCCCTTTAACAAGTAAGTCTTAGATAGCACACTCTCTGATTAAAACAAACAAATTAGATCATGCGGAGTACCGTAGATGTTTAGGGTGTTAATACATTCACTTTACATAACTGATCCATGTACCTTGAACTTGATTTTCATTTTGGGTTTTATTTTTTATTTTCCCATTTCTATTTAGAAACAATAAAGTGAGGTGGTGACTTTCACTGTGTGACTTAAGTCAATTAATGACTTAGTCTCAAAAAATTTATCACTACATTTCACTACAGTGTGGCACGCTGCAATAATCTGAATTTAGATATTTGATGATATTAAAGGAATAGTTGTTTTAGGTATTTTTAAACCCCGTGTTACAGAGCAGGATATTTTATATGATGTTTATATGAAGATGTGACACCTATGTGTTTTATTTGATTTATTTTCGTAAAAAAATTATACAAAATACATGTGGGTTAGAAGGGTGTTACAACTACACCGTTCTTCCGCAAAAAAGCAGGAACCGAAACGAAACTCAGAGGAGGAAAAGAAAAAATGTCGATCCAACATAAATTTCGTCTTTCAAATTCGAATCTAAAATCGTAATATGTTTCTGCATAGCTATTGGATCATGTCTAAACCGATTCGCTGATATCAATACCAAATCGGGAAAAAGAGAATAGAACAACAAGAAGAGAGAACAAAATGAGAAGAAGAAGAAGAAGAGAATAGAACAACAAAATTACATATTAAGATTTGAAAATTAGTATAAGATGAAAGAAAAAATGAGAAGAGGAAGAGAATAGAATAACAAAATTATATATTAAGATTTAAAAATTAGTAGAAGATGAGAAAACAGAATAAGAAGAAGAAGAGAATAGAACAACACAATTACATATACAGATTTGAAAATTAGTATAAGATGAAAGAAATTGTTAGGGTGAAAAAATGGGGAAGAACACGTTTTGAAAAAGAGTTGAGAATGAATATCATGTTGTAAATCACTTAGTATTTATTAATGAATTATTTTTAGTTTATTATTATTATTATTATTATTATTATTATTATTATTATTATTATTATTATTATTATTATTATATTAATGAAACATAATTAAATAAATTAACATTAAAATTTTGATAAATAATGAGCTATAAAAACTAATTATAATTTGACATTGACACATCATCGAAACAAGCGCCACATCATAAAAAATTATTTTTATGAAGGCCAGGAGACTAAAATCCAAAACAAAATTAAAAAAGAACAAAAAAAACAAATTTTAAAATAGAGGTATCAAAAATAAAATAAGAAAAAATAAAATAGAAAAACCAAAATTATAATTAAGTCTTAAATATTATCATCTCTCTGTTCTTTTTTACAAGAGACATGTCATTTTTTATATATTTGATTTGTTTATAGACCAGATATATTAATTATTCAATAAATCCAAAAAATGAGTTGTCTCTTATGAAAAGGAATATTTATGGACACTTATAGTCAGTGACTTTGTTTGGGAAGTCATTTTTCGAGTCTATAACTTATAAGTTCATATAATAATAAAAGATCTGTTGATAACAATCTTTTTATCACATGTTTATAATATATTTTACTAGTTTATAATTTATTTTTCAGATGCTATTTTAAATAGCATTTTAGTTTATAGTTTATAATTTATCATTCTTTCTTTCATTTTCTTCTTATTATTTTAAGTAAAACTCAATATTATCCTTTATACTTTATTTTAATTTAAAATAAAATAATTATATTAAATATATTTTATGTTATTTTAATTTATCAATTCTTTGAAATGTTAATTTTACCCGTCATTTCAATTAATTTATGAGTTGAAGATCAAATACCCTATAGTTGTGAATACCATTTTTGCAGTAACAATAACGATATGTGGCTGTTAGGGTTAACCAATTCCATACCCTCACTCTCAATTCCTTCTCACGGATATAGATTCCCCTTTTCCACCATATCGCTCACCTTCAGACCTCGAAAACCACACCCACTTCCATTGTTTGCATCATCCAACAACAACAACAACAATCAAGTAAATGAGAAGGGGGGAAATTCACAACAACCACAACAACAAGCACCCTCCTCTTCATCTTCTTCCAATGGACAAGAACAAAAACGACCCCTTTTTGGTTTCAATTGGAGTAATCTTCTAGACCCAGATCCTGACAATGTTCTTGCACTTGGATTAACGGCTCTTCTCACATGGGCAAGTGTTCAAGTTCTTTGCCAGCTTTTCTTTATCTCTTTCGCTATTATTCTTGCTGCTCTTAAATACTCTTTCATTGCTGCTCTTCTCATTTTCATCCTCATCGCACTTCTCTAATACAATTACTACAATACTATTTTTTTCTTTTTCTCTCGATTTTTTTAACCACTTCAGAATTCTCTTGTTCAATTGGGTAAACCGTTATTATTATTGTTTACTTAAATGTTTGAGATAGAACCCTAGACCTCTTTCATAATACTCATTCGCTATGATAGGTTTCGATTGATAAAACTTGTGTTCCATATTTCTACAATTTGGACAAATTGTCATATAGTTAAAGCAGAAAAATGGAATGGATTCTTATTGTCATAGTTGAAGAAAGTGTGTCATAGTATATGTTAGTATGTTTGCAGATTCAACGTGTTTAATGAAGGATTCTATTTGGTTAAGTTGATCTAAGATTTGATCAACTAAGAGTGATGTTCCCAATTGATTGAAGCTCTGTTTGGTGAAAGGGAATTTAAACCAAATACTCCCTTTATGTGCTTCCTGGTGTGAAGAAACATCGCTTCATTATTTGCTTTGCTAATCATGTACAAGTATTGATTTAGGACAAAACAAAAATAAATTATTGGAAGTTTAGATTAATTCAAACGCATTCTAGTAGTTACTGTGGTCGCTTCGAGCAAACAGCTTATCTGAAAAAATACTTCTGGAAAAGTACTTCTGGAAATCTAGAATTTGGAAGTTTCGAAGAAGAAACCGGTTTTCCAGTTTGGGGTAACCAGTTTTTGTCACATGTTTCACTTCTGGGATTTGCCATTCAGTTGGGAAAACCGGTTTCCAGGTTTTGGGAAATCGATTTCTGGTGCGGTTTTTTGTTTTTCCTACTATTCTGTGAGACAGCTTTGTTGTTTAAGTTGTTTTAGAAGTATCTTGTATAAACTCTCTTGTAATGTGTGTTTGTATTGTTTTTAATGTCATTTTTTTTAATCTCTCTCTCTCTCTCTCTCTCTCTCTCTCTCTCTCTCTCTCTCCAATTTAGTTTTTGTGTATTTTTAACATTTGGCATTAAGAGCCTTGGTTCTAGTCCATTAATCTGCTGCAAACATGTTTGTCGTTTCCAATGACTAAATCCCTACCAACCTTCCAATTCTTGATTCCAAGAACTATGACAAGTGGTGCAAACAAATGAAAGTTTTGTTTGGGTATCAAGACGTTCTCGAAGTAGTGAACGATGGTGTTACATCACTTGGGGCATAAGCTATAACTGCTTAACAAACTACATTTAAAGAAGAGAAGAACAAAGACTACAAGGCACTTTTTTTGATACATTCTTGCGTCGATATTGACAACTTTGAAAAGGTTGGTGATTACACTTCGGTGAAGCAAGCTTGGGAGGTCTTGAAGAAAGCTTATGAAAGGGCTGATAAAGCGAAAGTTGTGAGGTTACAAACTCACAAGAGGCAGTTTGAGCTAGTGTAAATAGAAGAGAAGGAGTTGATCAATGATTACATTACGCGTATAACGCGCTTGGTAAATCAAATGAAGTTTTATGGTGAAACTGTGTCCATGCGTAATGTGGTAGTAAAAATCTTGTGTTCTTTAACGTCAAGATTCGACAATATAGTGGCTGCAATCGAAGAATCAAATTATCTTCTTACCATGAGCAAGGAGGAGCTTCAAAGCTCATTAGAAGCTCATGAACAAAGAATGGATGAAAGAGGAAATGACAAGGCCAAAGCAGAGATTGTGTTGCAAGCACAGTTCAATGAGAAGAACAAGAGATCGAAGGGTAAATGGTCTTCAAGAGGGAAGACAAATTTCCAGAATTTTGGTGGAAAAGACTCACAAAATTTAAAGGGTTCGATAGCACAAACATGTGAGAGTAGCTCCAAAGATAATGGTCAAGGCAACAACACCAAGAAGTTTGACAAGAGTGGTGTAAAGTGTTTCAATTGTCAAAAGCTTGAGCATTTTGCAAAGGAATGTAATGCGAAATCGAAAGAAAATCACGGCGATGAAGCTAAAGTTGCAAGACAAGATGTGGATGATGATAATACACTTCTGGTCATGACCACAGAGGAAAATTATGGCATGGAAAAGTTACTGGACAGCAGCAGTAGCAACTGTCAGAAGTTGGGCAGCAACATCTGCAGTGTAGAAAATTCTGCAGAAACGCGTTCAGAGCAAAACGCAATGGTGACCATTCCAGATGGAGTCCAAGGCAGTGATGAGTGGTACTTGGATTCTGGTTGTTCAACGCATATGACGGGTAGAAAGGATTGGTTTGTCAAAATCAATCAAGCCACAAAGAATATAGTAAAATTCGCGGATGACACCACTTTAGCGGTCGATGGTGTGGGTGATGTTTTGATCATGAAAAAGCATGAGAGTCATTCCTTGATCAAATATGTGTTATAAATTCTTGGAATTAAATGTAATCTTTTGAGTATTGGTCAATTGCTTGAGAAGAATTACATAATTCGCATGAAAAACAAGATTTTGTGCGTTTTGAACTGAAACAGGGTCTTAATTCTTAGAGCACCCATGGCTGTAAATTGTACTTTTAAGATAGAGTTGAAAGTGATGGAGCACAAGTGTCTTGCTACAACAGAAAGTCGTGATGAGTGGTTGTGGCATTACCGTCTTGGACATCTCAATTTTTAAGATCTCGACGCGTTACAAAGGAATGGTATGGTGACCGGGCTGTCCAAGATCAATGTTCCAGCTGATATTTTTGAAGAGTGTTTTTAAGGGAAGCAACACAAGAATAGTTTCAGCAAGGATGTAGGTCATAGGACCAAACATCATCTTGAGGTGGTGTACTCTGATGTTTGTGGTCCAATGCAAGTCGATTCGTATGGTGGAAATAGGTACTTTGTCACTTTTATTGATGATTTTAGTAGAAAGCTATGGATTTATCTAATCAAGAGGAAAGATGAGGTGTTTGATGTGCTCAAATGTTTTAAATCCATGGCGAAGCGACAAAGTGGTCACAAGTTGAAAATTCTCAATACCGATGGTGGAGGTGTGTATACCTCGAGTGAGTTTAGGAATTATTGTGATGTTGAGAGTATAGTGCGTGAGATTGTACCACCTTATACACCTCAACAAAATGGTATTTCCGAGAGAAGAAATCGTTCAATAATGAATATGGTTCGTAGCATGTTGAAGAGAAAAGCTTGCCGAATGAACTATGGGGTGAAGTTGTATCTACAGCCACCTATTTGTTAAATAGGTGCCCTACTAAGGAGCTGGGTAAAGTGACACCAGAAGAAGTATGGTCTGGTCATAAACCAAGTTTGAGTCATTTGAAGGTTTTCGGTTCGGTAGTGTTGTACCCAAAAATTTGTCCTCCCATTTTTCTTTAAGACATGCTCACAAAGGTCTCAAGTATTCAAAGTTACTCAAGGATTGATCAGTCAAACCTCCTCAGCAATGGGTCCACAACCAGGGTTTCATCTTGCACAAGGAAGAATTGGTTTCAAAGGTCTCAAATGGTTTTCATGGTTCATCATAGGTCTTCAACAGTGCTCATGTCAAGTTTCAAGTCTTGCATCACAAGTTTGCTCAGTCAATGACTCAGATGATTGAAAATCAACTATATTGGGTAAAAAGTCGATTATGGTCAAGATACAGTCAAACTTCAATATTTTTTGTCAACATCAATATTTTGAAGTGATATTCATCATTTGATCAAGGGTTGATCATGATTCCTCAAGGAAAGCCCTCAAATCATCAAAGGTCAAAAGTTGCCAAATTAGGGTTTCCTTAAGAGGAGTCAACTGAACTTTGACCAAGTATAACTTTCACATGCTTCATCAACTTTTCCCCGACAAAAGCCCATTTTGAAGGAAATTCAATCCTCTATAACTTTGTATTTATGCCAAAGTCCAAAAGTGCTTCATTTGAAAGATGTGAGCTAATACATTATAGGTCATTTCAAAAGTCAACAAAAAGACACTTTTTTATCAAGGCAACTTACATCAAGATAAATTCTTCAAATGCAAAAAAGATCAAAAGAGAAATTGTAGAGGACATCTTGAGCTTTCCAAAAAGTCTAAGATCACCTTCAAAATATGAAAATTCAGCAAATTATGAGTTGCACAAGTTAGATAATTTTTGAGAAATGCATGAAATCTCAATTGAGAAAATTTGTGATTTTGGGCTATTGGGCCTAAGTTTTGAAATTCAAATATGTTCATGACATATCTAAGAACCTCTAAATCCATCCATACATTATTTTGATTTTTTATTTCATTTATTTGGATTTTTATTCATTTAAATGTAAATTAAATCAAATAAAATGCAAGCTTAATGTACAAGGCGTGTAAGGCCTGTGATCTAATCTTTTGGAGGCCCAAACAACTCATGACAAGCTGTCAAAATCGTGTGGACCAAGAGGGGAAGGAAATCTTTACAAAATCGGAAACATTTCAAATTATTTTGGAATAAAATCACACTTTAATTCAATTTGATTGGGTACCATTTTTGTTAACCTAATGTGATCCCTCATATATACACAAGCATCAGATCACAAGGGATATACACGAGCTGCTGCCTCAAAGAAAGCTAGCCAAATTCTCAAAATTCTTCAAAGAACCCTAGGTTTCAAAACTAGTGTTACAGACCTTATCGTCTCAAAGTCTCAATTATATTCCCTTCCTGGAACATCAAAGGATAGCTTTGGATCGATCATGATGATCCTGCACGCATGAAATCGCATAGCATAGCCTTGTCGGTTCCATGTTTTTTTGAAAATCATATCTTTAATCTTGCTATATTTTAAATCGATTTGATGTTTCTAACCTGATCTTGAGCTTTGTCTGAACAAGTTTAGATCACCAATATGGTCCCATGCGTGCAGGATTGAAAAACACCATTTCTTTCTCTGATCGGTGTAACTTGGTTCAAAACACATTATCTAAGGGGTTTTAGCCAAAAATAAGGCCGAATTCGGATCCAATAGGGGCAAATTAGGGGGGACACAATGTTTTGGATTCTTAAAAATTGATCTTTACGTGTTTGGTATTTTACAGGTCGCCGAAGAAGACGACCAGAGCTAGGGCTCCTACGCTTCTCCGGCCATATAGGTCAATCTGTGTATTTATTGT